AACCATAAAAGCAGTCTTATAAAAACTATGTATTAAAAAATCTAAGCACCATCCATATGCCAATTACATCCAAATTTCACGGTCCCTTCTCTATGAGGCTTCTTAAAGGTGATAGAAATGTCAGATGAAACAAAAAAGGGCACATTATGGAGAGGGAAATTAGGAGATGAGTGGTGGATCTCAGGAGCCATCCAGTGAGGAGCTCTGGCTGGGAAGGGCAGCTCCAGAGAGCAACATTTGCAGCACAAATTGTGGTCCCCAGTAACTACAGTCTGAGGGCTGTAGTAATTTCTAACAGTTGCAGGTGTCATTAAACAGAATTTTCACAAGGCCAGGGGTTAAAATGATGCCCTAAATCTACAAAAGCATGCAAACTCTTCAGTCCCTAGGAAGGATTTATTCTTCAGAGCCAAGTGCTGATTTTACACTCTGAGGTCACACAGCTGTAAAATTCAAATCTAAAATGAACTCATGTCCTATTCTGCTATGACTTCCCTTCACACCTCTGCACCAGGATGTTCATTGTTTTGACCTCTGCCAGGGGTGGATGGCAAGGCACAAAGATTTCCTTGAAGGGCTCGGTGTTACTGAGCTCTGGAGGCCCCAAACACTCTGATATCTGGAGCACCCATGGCATCAGTGCTCAGTGGACTTAAGCAAACAGCATAAAGGCTCTAAGAAGTGCAATCATTTGAGATAATTAAACTTCTTGCTCTTGCTGACTAAAGTCGGCCCAGATTGTGATGCCATCTCCATGCAACCATAGCAACTTCTTCCTTCCATTGTGTCCCAGATTAATGGGAACACCTGGAATCAAAAACCTGAGGCTGGCAGGAAGGTGCATAAAACTTTATTGATCCTTTGTGGATGGCAGGGATCCAGTCACACAGCAGTGATTCACTTTCCAAAGCCCTGCCTCAGCAAGGAGCAGTGGTGGGCTCTCTAGGGACCCCTCTCTTCTCTGACTGCTTCAAAGTCCCAATCAGGAATATTTTAAAGAGATGATTACAAAAAATCACACATTCTTTCAAAGGACGTGAGCCTTCTTCGCTCAGATTTTGGCATATTAATATTTTTAAGGATGGCTCACAACTAAATATGGTATTGCCTTTCTTATTGTTTCTGCTGGGTTCATTTCAACACTTTAAAACCCCTACATGCCATCAGGGCTCAATGGCAGCAGCCTGTGGGCAATTAAGGTTAAATTTTAGTCTTGGTCATATGTGACTGCTCCTGTAAATGTGGTGAAACACAGTTGGAGCACATATTCCCCAGAGAGCAAGTAGGCAATGCTTTAAGGCAGCCAGGGAGAGATAAATGGATGCAGAGAGGCTCTGGAATTTTGCTTGAAATAATTTTTGCTTTGCTTTTAATGATCAAAACCATTCCTCCCACTGAACCACATAAAAAAATAGCATTTGTGTCTGTGCCAAAGGTGGAGCATAGTGTTGACCCACTGAAATGAAAGACAAGTGAAAAATTAATGAGAAACTGGAAACCAGCAGCTCCCACCCTGTGAGCAGTAGTCTTTTATATCCTGCTTCCATAGTGAGCATCTCAATGGGGCAAAAAATCACAGTAGCTCCTTTGACTTCAAAGGAGATGCACCGGTTGGGAAGGAGGGAAAACAATCCAGAGAGAACTGTACCAAATCCACACAGCTCAGGAAGAGAGTCCCTAGCAGAGCCAATCAACACTCAGGAGAGTGGGGAATGTTTTTGTTATAAAGAGTTTTATGTAAAGTGGAAAAGCACCTAAAGATGATCCAGCTTTGACTGAGGCTCTTCTCGGGCCAAAGCAGATGTTGCCTGGAAGTTCAGCTCTAATTTCTAGAGCTAGGGAGACACAGACTGGTACAACAAATAAGCCTGAGGGTCACAAACAGAGTTTTCTGACAAACACTTCAGTCTCCAATATCTGCTCTAGAAAAAATTAGCAGTCTGAGATTGTTCTGAACTAATTTCAAGGGTATCACAATTTTGGATTATGTCCTGGGAGGGTCCTTTTCCTCCTGCACTAACTCCAAAGAACTCATTAATTAATTAAACTTTTTTTTAATCTAACACAGCAATGTTTAAAATAACAGTTTCTCAAGCTCTTTTGGGAAACTTAAATGAAATTAAAGGAAACATTGTCTTTCCTCATCTGTTTATCCACCATGCAACCCAGTTTACCCAAAAAATGAGAATTTATGAGAAGATCCCTAAAATCTCCTACAAATCATTAAAAGTATTCATGTGTGTTCCTCCATTGTTATTTATGAGCCAAAAGAAGCTGTCATGCATGTAATATGCTAGCAGAAACCCAAGGAGTCTTCCTGATCTATTGTCTTTCCCTGTATATTCATAGAATAACATTTGTCTTCCATAGCATGTTTAATAAATTCACACTATCATTTTGAAATGATGCCTCTGTGATCTGGGGAGTCCATTATCACCTGCTCCCTGGAAGTGTCCCTCTCTAAACCCACCACTTCTTAGGAATTAGATATAGAGTGTTTTAATTGCCTACATTAAGTGCTGTACCTGTGCTGAGCATTCTCTGTGAAGTCTGTGGGGCTGTAATTTCCACCCCTGTAATTAACTGAGCTCACGTGGCAGCACTGGAAAGGAATCTTTTGGAAGGCAGGGAGGTTAAAGGGAGCTGCTCTAGGTCTGAGTGAGACCCTGACTCGAGACGATTCCTGGTTCCTGGGTGTGTGAGAGTTACAGTGAAAAACCTCAGCAGCATCACATCCCCTGTAGCCCTGGCAGAGGCAACTTTTGCTCAGGTCAGATGCCCCTGAGCCCAGAGGAACTCCTCATCCCTTTCTAACCATGCTTTAACCACCTCAGCTTGCAGCAGGGATGCCTCCCTGCCATCCCTCAGTGTGTTTTAAAAAGCTTTTAGTTAACAGAACCTCTCAAATTCACCTTGTTTTACAGAAAAAATAACAAAGTAGGAGATGAGGTTTAAGAGGCTCACCAGTGAGTGTGTCAGTGTCAAAAAGGAGCAGCAAAATGTGCTGTGTGATCCAGCAGCAGCACCGTGGCTGTGTCATTGCCTCAGCCCTGCACTGCTCCCCTGGCTGAGCCACACCAACTTTGCTGCAGTGAGCACCTGTAGCCTCACTCCCCTCTACTGATTTTAAAATGCCTGCAGGACCAGAAGCACCCCTGGAACCTCTACCCCCCTGCAGAAATTGAGCAATGAGTCCAAAAGTTATTGGGGAGGGGAGGAGGATGTAGACACAGACACACAGACAGGACGATTGCATAAGCCTTGTTCCCATGAGAAACCAGGCTGAAAAACAAACTGTCCTAACAGGGGTTCTCATAACTCTGCCTGTAACTAGGTCATGCCAGGTCCCAAACTCGTGTAACTTTGCCTTATCTCCAATGGGCTCTCCTCTAGGAGGCAATCCTAGGTTTGGCGAGTTTGACGTTTCATTTTTTGTCTCACTGAGACGTCATTAAGGAAAAAAAAAGCCAAACCAGGTTGATACAATGCAATGTCAAAAGCCACCATGGTCTTGTACTGCAGCAAGATTTGTGCTGTGGCACAGAATTATGAGGAACAAACCAGCAGGGACCAGCTCTGACACTCACCCTACTTATGCACCAGCTCCCACTGCTGTAGGGGATCAGGGGTCTAAAATAATATCCTAGATCTCTAATGGGTCTGTTCTTTCCTGGAAGCAGGAGAAACTTCCCCATTAACATGAATGGGAGTTGTGTGTCTGCCCTGAAACTAGAATGGACCTTAGGCCTGGTCCTTTTATTTCCAAAGAAATTATATCTTTGTTTGTCTGCTGCAGGGAGACACATTTAAAAATAATCTTTCAGAAATATATTAATAAAGGTAGTCCTTCAGTTTAATTCTGATGCTCACATTCTCCTCTAGGCCTTTATCTCCAAGCTCATGCTCAGTTCTAAATAAAAAGCTCTACTTCTATGAGACTCCCAGCAGACAAAACCAGTCTGTTTTTCCAAACTCTACAACCCCTGGCAATGGTCACCCTTCAGCAGAGAGCAGGTTCAGCAGGGCAGGTCTCCAGAAAGAGCTGCTGAGCCCTGACATCTCAGAGCTGTGGCCCCTTTGCTTGTGAAGGGAAACTTCATTTTGCATTTTTTTGTGCCCCATCAGCTCAGTGTGAGAATACCAGTCTGTTTTTCCAAACTCTACAACCCCTGGCAATGGTCACCCTTCAGCAGAGAGCAGGTTCAGCAGGGCAGGTCTCCAGAAAGAGCTGCTGAGCCCTGACATCTCAGAGCTGTGGCCCCTTTGCTCGTGAAGGGAAACTTCATTTTGCATCTTTTTTGTGCCACATCAGCTCAGTGTGAGAGGGGCTGCCCTGCTGCCTCCCCACTGACCATGGCACAGCTGGAAGGGAACTGCAGGCAGCACTGTAAGGAAGCTTGCACACTAGGATGTAGAAGAGGAAAGATTTCTGCAGTGGATCAAGATGCTTTTGAAACCCTTCCCCACAGTCAGGTGGGATTGCAGTGCTAAAGGCTGTGCCCTGGGCACAGAGCAAATGTGAGAATGGAAGAGAGGGTTGTGTTGTGTTGTTACACACAGACACTTGTATTGTTTTGTAACACATAGAGGAATATCCTTTCCCTTTCTGTTTCTTTTCTTTGAAACAAAAAAAAAACCACAAAAAAAAACCAAAACAAAAAACAAAGAAACAACAAAAAAAAACCAGAAACTTCTCCAACTTCTGTAGTTTACAAATTTGCTTTATTTTTTTTTTCCTGTGGGAGCTCTTAACTAAATATATCCCCTGTAAAACTCCACATCTACAAAAGGAAACCCAAAGTCACTTTGCATCAAACACTCCCAAGCAGGGGTTGGAACTAGATGATCTTTAAGGTTTCTTCCAACATAAACTATTCCATGTTTCTGTGATTCTTTGGTCAAGTGTGTGCTAAGGCTCTCACTGAGCTGTCCTATAACCCAGCTCTTTGTGTATTTATCACTATAAATTTCAAAGAATTTGACCATCAAAGTCATCAGGGTCTGGTCAATGAGTTCTTTATTTTTATGAATATGCCTGGTGATAATGAAAGGTTGTCCTATAAAAGTCTGCTCCTCACAGAGTCTGCTGTGTTCATTTTTACATGTGCTTTCCAAAACGTTCCAGTCACAGGCCAAGCTTCATCCAGCACAGGTGTCTGAAAATGAAATCGGAAGAATTATGTTTATAAATTGGCCTTGCATCTCCAATTAAAGGGCAAATGTCTTTACAGCTCGGCCCCTTACAAACCAGTCTGTGAGCACAAACATTACAGGAGCCAAACAACCCTGCAAAAAGGGACAAACATAACCACAATTTAAAAAAAGCATATTCCTTTTAGAATCTATTACATAAAGCAAAATGCACGCACTGTTGTACTCACTTTTGATTTCCATACCAGGTTGCTTCAGTCACACAAGGGAATTTTTCAGGTGATTTTACCTGACTTGAATGCAGCATTACAATGGATTCAAAGCCCTATGCTGGGAAAAAAAAAAAAAGAGAGAAGGAATTAAGCAGGGCAGAAAAATAAACATTGCTCTGAAAAATAAATCCATATACAATCAGAAATAAATTATAAAGGAATTGCAAAAAAAAAAAAAAAATATATACCAAGGAACATTTAGAAAAAAAACAGACTTTTAAAGTTATACCTGACCATGGAAATAAACTGTGTTCCTTCAGCTGATTCATTCTCCACAAAACTGTTCTATTTTCTGTCACCTAAAAATATCTGGCTCCTTTTTGAAGAACTGATGAAGAACCTGGCATCTTTTTCTTCTCCCAACATGCTCCAGCTTGAAAACATTAGAGCTGTGATGCTGAGCTTTCCTCCTCAGCCAGAGTGTGAACAGCAAGGATAGGATTTCTCCCATGTAGTTCTAACCACTGGAAAAGTGGGAATCAAGTGCAAACCACCTCTCCAGGCACTTTTTACCACCAGTATAGAGAGAAAAGTCTTTTGGAGGTGCCCCTGATTACTGACATACAATTCAGAGTAAACACCTGTAAGTAGGTGAGGTGGATCCCACCCACAGAGCTTTCTTCTTCCTCGAGGCCAATTAGATATAAATGCTGCTTCATGATCTCATTTCAAGACTTTGAAACAAGGCTTTCAGTCAAAAATGCAAATTCAGTGAAAACCAGACCTTTTTGTGGGAAAGGGCTGGTTTCTGATTCCTGTCTTTAAAAGATATTTAGAAGAAAACAATAGGTGTGGTTTCTATATTTTCAAAAAGCAAAATTTCCATTTTTCTGTTTGAAACAAGTCTTGTGTTTGAAATTCACATAATGTATAGTCATTTAAAAAAAGGGTCAACATAAAAAAAGAAATAATTCCACTGGCCCAGCCTTTCCCCTTATATTTAAATCACAGATCTGCAAAGAAATTTCAGTTTTTTCCCTTTCATCCTGATTTAGATGAGGAAAAAAAATCCAATCAAAACTTCAAACAGCTATTCAGGAAACAAAAGCTATTTCCAATACAGTTTTAATGTTTCATCTACAGCTGAATCACTCTGTGTAAAAGGGCTGGGGTGACTTCAGCTGGGCTGAGGGAATCCTGCTGCTGCAGTTTTCCACTCCTCTTGAGCTGCTTGGTGCCCAGCCCCAGCACTGGTTTGTGCATCCAGCTGAGTTGTGGGACACACAAATCAGCCACACACCATGGGAGGTGCTGGGTGCAACCCTGAACGTGCTTTGTTCGTGCTCTGGGCCAAAAGGACTCATTCCAGATCCCCTCTGGAGCCAAGCAAGCAGGTCACCGAGGTGCAGAGCTCCAGCTCGAGGGCCAATAGACCCTGTAACAGGTACACAAGACCCAGAGGAAAATTTGTTTTTCTTGGGGGTGAGTTCATGCTGCAGATGGAAAAAGCAGCTCCTGGTTTCACCTGGCCAGAGCAGAGCTGTCCTGCCCCTCACAGACACATTTTCCACACACAATGTCCTGTAGTGCCCTGGGAGCTGTGGCCACCCCTTGGAGCGGCCACAGGGACGGCCCTGCTGAAAAAGAGCTGGCATCTCAGCATGGAACTGAGCTGTCTGGCAGATGCTTTTAACATCAGAAAGAGGAAACAGTTCAGGAAAAAAGATGCAGACCTGGCAAGTTCTTCTTTGTGGGGGAGAAAAAAAAAAGAAGAAGGAGAAATGGTGAAGAGTTTTGTCTTTTCTTCAGATGGAGAGAGGACAGAGGAGGGAGCACTGGTGGGTGCCTGAGGACTGTGCTGCTGATGCTGCAGGCTGTGACTGACAGGGGTGAATGCCCCATTCCTGGTGCTCAGTGCAGGACTGTGCTCCCAGGGTTCTCCCTTTTCTTGTCCCTAGGCTGCAGGACGTGTTTGCAGTGCCATGCAGAGCAGCAGGGGGAATTACACCGGCTCCACGTGATACCCAGGAGCACAGAGAAGTGATGCTGACAAGAGCTGTGGGGTTCAGTGCCCTTCCAGAGAGTCCCCAGCTCCTCCATCTACCCAGAAGTCTCAGCCTTCAGTTATTTCAATTGAGATTGTAGGGTATTTTTGCTACAGAGAGGGGCTTCAAAATAGTCATTGTGTAGATTCCAAAAACAATAAGCAAATACATGGAAACCTATTTATTCATTTATTTATTTTGACTGGAGAAAAAAAAATATATTTTTAAACCAGTCTCAGTATCTTTTGATATTTGAAGTGCTGGGGCTAATAGTGTTTTCACTGGAGAAAGAAAGGATGCACAGATCAGCCCTAGAACACCAGACCTTGCTCTCATTTCTCCAGTGGGCCAAGCATGGGTGTAGCCAAGAGTACAAGCAGACCCCTCTCTGAGAGAGGAATGGGATATTGAAAACAGCAGGAAAATGCTTAATTGTTTGTCCAGTGCCCAACAAAGCCACCCCAGCTGCCATCTTGGATTTTCCTTCTGATTTTTAAGCAGTGTCATTGCAGGGCTCCTAATGAAAGCCAGACCAAAAGCCCTGGGGAAGGCTGTCTCACAGCTGACAGTGCAGCAGAGCAAGAGGCTGCCCCAGCCAGGCCAAGCCCTTGGATGTCCAAACCTTTTTCTTCTAAAGGCAAATAGCTCACTGTGAACCATTATGAGCTTCCAGGTTTGTGGGATCCACATGTTGGCTTAGGTCTTGTTGCTTCTAAGGGGGACAAACCCATCATGTGCTGCTCTGGGAGTTACACAGTCTCTGGTTTGTTTTTCACAAGGGTACAGCTCACACATTGGGTCCACTTTGCCTCCATCCCTCTTTTCTTCCCTTCCTCCTGTGCTTGATGTGTGAGAACACTCGTGTGTGATGCACACAAGCCCAAGGCATGTGGGTGAGCAACCCACTGGACTAAATATTTGAATACTGTTTTCAAAGAGAAAGAGCTCCTCTCTCTTGGCTGAAATCAGAAAGAAACCACAACTCTGAAATAATGCTGCAGAGCCCTGGTAGAATACCAGGAGTCCTTCAGCCTCTCCAAGATGCTCTGAGCTCAGGTCAGTGTCTGCCTGGGTTGGTTTCCAGGTGTGGAGCCTCTACGAGCTCTACTTTTATCTCCTTTCCTCCTGATTCCCTTTTACTTCTTGTTTCCATCAAGGATGAGAACTTTACCTTTCCATTCCATGAAGTCCACACCAGAAACTCCCCTCTCCACCTGTGACAGGCAGGAAGGTGACATATTTGATAATAATTTGGTGTGGTTCTTCATGGCTTTAAGGGAACTTTTCCCTCAGATGTCTAAACCACACATTTTCTCTCCTCTGGAAGAACTGGGGGAAGGCAGGTGGTTAAGAATTTTGTGTACATATATATTGTAGGCAATCTGGATTAAAAACCTTTGACCCAGCCTAGGCTAATATACTTCAGTGTGGCTGAAGTCAGAACAAAGCCCATTTTTTTGATTCACGGGCTCTACGTGCAGGGGAATGGCACAAGACAGACTGTCCCTTTCCTCCTCTTGGCTCACGTCAAACGACACAAGATTTGCACACAAGTAAAAAGGTCGCCTTGAAATTATATGAATCATTCTGAGGGCTTTGCCCTACCTTGCCTTTTCCAAGTCATCTCTAATTCCTCTTCAAGGTATCACGTGAAAGAAAACCACAACAGACTGTGCCATCACTTGCTCAAGTAGCTTATTTTTATCCAGCAGTGAATATCTTCACTTCCCTCTTTTCCGTAGATCAATGGCTCTCCCAAAATCTTTCTGCAACAGAACTCAATCCAAATTTAACCGTATCTGCACTGATGGCTTCTTCAAGAATCAAATAAATTATTTAATCTCTTTTTTTTTTTTTTTTCAAATGAGGACATTTTTATCAAGAGAAAATGGAAAAAATTAAGTGGAAAAAGAAAAAAAAGTACTTTTACCTCAGAAAGTCTCTCTTGGCATCACAACTGCTCTCATGCCTCTGTTTCCAAAATTAAGCTGTCCTGTACTGAGCAAAATCAGTCAGTTTACACTCAGATTTTTTCCATTCCATTTTCATACAAATTTAATTGCTTAGAATTTTAGCTGGCAAGGGTTGCACAAAAATTGGTGAAGGTATCAGTGACTGACTTCTTTTCTTTTTAGAAATATTAAGGTATCCATGTTTCCTGCTCTTTTTTAATGTCATCAAGAAGCCAAAATAGTTGATTATATTGTAAAGGTATAACACGTTGTCAAATAAAAAATCAGACACAGGAAGAAATGTCAGTGAAAATTGTGTGTGCTACCCCAGCAGGTGACGTGGGCTGTGACTGCAGTCAGGCATGGGCCAGGGAATAAAGCAGTGGTTCATGAATAAGGGTTTTACAGCCTTAACTGAGAAAGAAACAAAACCAGCCACAAAATGAAGAAATATGCTGGAGAGAGGAATATTTCTAGCCATGCAGAGCAGTGATGTTCTCCCAACAGGACAAGGAGCAGCAGAACTCTTCACTTCTTTTCAAGCAGGTCTTGATCCTCATTTAAGCACGCACAGCACAGCTGACAGCAGCTGCCTGAGAGCTTCCCCCAGCCCTGCAGGTCTGTACTCCTAATACACTCACAGGAAAAAGGAAACATTGATTTTTTAAAAAAGTGTGCCTGCTCTGAGCTGACTGGGAAATGAGGAGTGCTGGAATTAAGGCAAGCAGTCATTTTGCTGTGCAGTTTTTTACATTTAAGCAATTCACTACTGAGACTTGACAAATTCCCTGTCCTTCCCCACCCCAAATATGACACTTTTGTCTGCATCCTGGCTTGAGAAGGAAACAAATCTTTCAGAGTCTTCTGACTCTGGTGGAAATCTGGACCTCTGAGGAGCCTGGAGTCCTGGAGCTCCACAAATGTGTGTTCTTCCTCTACATCAGGGACAAATCATGGCCCCTGCTACAAGTGACTGCTCAAGATTTCATGTCAGGCACCCTCCTTTAGTGCAACACCATCCTCTTCCTCTTTTATCTGAGCCCAGAGCAGGTCCAAACTGGAACTTCAAACATACAACCAACAGATGTTGTGAACATCAAGGGCTGCAGGAGGCGATTCAAATCCCATGATCCCAAAAGAGGAACTTGCTTTGTGAAATGTTTTCTTGCATATACCCACAGATACTAGAAATCTCACGAGGACAGCCAAGCTGATAACATTTCCCCTGTTCTGAAGGAATCCTTGCCCAGTCAGAACAAATAAGGACATTTTAGTAGCTGCAAACATAAACCAGAGCCCTGCTTCAGCCACGCAGCTGAAATGCTGCATCTCTGCCTAAACACAAACCCCAGCTGGAACCTACAGGCACCCTTCTCACTCACATGCAATTCTAGCAGCCATAAAATTGCTTGTCTGACCCAAATTTTGTCTCCCTGTACCTGGTAGTTCTACTATGCCCACCCAGTGTTCAGCTCTTGGAGACATCTGCAATACATCAACTAAGTTTTTATTAAAGTTTTTATTACTCACAAGGAGCTATCTCTTCTAAGGGAGATGTGGGGTGGATTTCTTTTCCCCCAGGCTGCTTAAATACACAAATATTGTCACATTTGCTGGGGCTATTTCAAAATAAATAAATGAAGCCTGTGGGCTGGGCAGGGATGGAGGTTTACAGCTGCAGGGTGTAAAATTGGAATCCCCATCCACGGCCCCGCCGCAGGGCTGCTCCCCTTGCACAACATGCAAAGGAAGGAAGTTGAAAGGAAGCAATTTATGAGTTAGCTCTGAGTAATACAGTGATATGGTTAGCAATGCAGAGGTAGAAAAGCCTGTACGCCAGAGTGAATGTTCGTGGGCTTGTAAATCAGTGCTGAATGGGAAACTAAAGTGAGAAGAAGAAATGCTGCCCTGTTTTACCAGGGAGTGTGTGGCAAGGTCATGGGCAACAGTACGTGCATAAAATAAAGGGGCTAGGGGAAGAAAAGTGTTTTCTTGTATTTTATACCTCTGCCTCAAAAGTCACATAAATGGACAAGCAGTGTTTTCCTTTCCTTCATAATTTCCTCTGAAGGAGGCAACTGCTGCAGAAGAAAATTATTTTCTCCTAGGAGCCAGTGAGAGAGGGGTGGGATATATTTACTTATTCAATAGGCAGAGTCCTGATTCAGAGATAATAGAAGGGTTTTATCCTGTAATTTTGCTTATTACTCTCCTTTACTTTTCCACAGTTCTTAATAATGAGCAGCTTCAGATAGAACAAAACACACTCGGAGTCACTCAGTTCCTGTGCTGAGCTTCAATAACACAGCAACTTTTTCTAGAGACCAAAACTATTTAGTGAGTTTTTCCTCATGTCATTTGGCACTTCTGTCTAATTAACTTCTTGGACCTGTCGATAACGAAAGATATCACAGAACCTAAGGGTAAAGGCTATGCTTCCAATTTTTTATTTTAACTGAAAAAGAACAAGACCTCTGATACATGCTTGAGTTTTGATAATCTGTGAAGGTTCAGAAAAGGCTTGGGAAATTTATCAAAACATAAACTTGAGGCTTTTCAGTTTGGTAATCCATATTTAATTTATTTCTTGAGACATCTCCAGCTACTAATTCCTACACATTTATTTTAAGGAAGAGGTCTAATAGTAATGCTTCTGTCTCCAAAGATAAAGTCCACCACTTAGAGAGGTACAAGAAATGTAAATTAAACAGAGAATTTGAAACCATCTGCTGAATTTTTATTTAATTAAGGCCTCATCTGCATTTGAAACACAAATTAAAGAGTGAATTTAAATGAAAAAGAGATTGATGAATAACTTCACGGGCATCTGAGTTCTGGAACAAGAGTGCATTGTCCTTATTTACCTTAATACAGTTGGAAATTATGTTATTCAAATTAGAAACACAGACTTCTCTCTTCAAGAACAAGAGCATTGATACTTGGAGTTAATCAGAAACATTCAAGAGCAATAGATGTGAGACAATTTATTAGAAAAGTTAGGAAGGAATTGTGAAATGAGCTTTGTGCTCCACATTTAGCATATTTCATAGAACTTTAGGGAAGTTCCAAGCTCTCCCGAACCTCACAGAGATTGTTCTGAGGAAAAGCTTCCTTGGGTGTAAGTTTGGTGCAATAAACAGAAATAAAGGTTTGTTGTCGAAGCACACAAAGAGTAGCAAGCACAAGTGTAATCACAGGCAGTTGGGTTTGCAGCTTTGATTTTGCCAGATAGATTCAAACTGAGCGCAGAGAAGTTGCAAAAACACCCCAGGGAGAGTGTAAGGTTGAAATCCCAGCCTGGCTGAGCAGAGCAGATCCAAAAGCCCATCCTGAAACTCAAGACTTCCTGGGATCTCTCCAGCCACAGAACAAAAGATCCATCTCATTCACTGCAGCACCAAAAAAGGAGTATTTTGTGTTTTTCAGAACAGGACTTGCACCCATGAATTGAGAAATCTCTCCTTTAACCTGGCATGAGCTGCAGCAAGCCCGAAACTGCCATCGAGCTGCCCCATGAAACTGATGAGACACTGGTTTTCTCTCAAAAGCCCCAGTGGTGAAATGCACTGATTTCAAGTCACACTTTTGCTATACTCAGTTTTTGCTGTCATCAACATTTCCCTGACCCCACTGCCCTGCACAACAGAACCAACTTCATTATGGTCAAAAAGATCCAAAATGTTTCTCTGTGCATCTTCTCCCACAAACCAGGCTTAAGTGATTCATATAAAACAGTCTCTGGAGACAAACAGGCACAAATTTTCAAAATGTAAAGCACTCTTTTTTCATTGGTTGTCAAAATGGATAAACCCCAGGGTGTTCAATCTGACCTGTGCTCGACCACACAGGCTTTGGAACTGGTACTGCCTCACTCAGCTCCAGGGAGCTTAGCTAGTGATTTCAAGGGAAACATGAAAATAGAGGCTGAATCTGACCTAAACCTGCTTACTAGTCTTGTCCTAAAAAATAAGAACCAAATTCTTCCTTTTTTCTGGATAGCCAAAATGTCAGAGCAGCAGTGGGCCTACATCAGGTGTTTCATTACAGAAGGTCACGTGTGAACATGTTCCCCTTCCTTTCCCAACTGGGTGGACCACCATATATGCTGGAACAGTACTAATATAAAAAAATTAAAATTAAAATCCCGACCACACTAATAGTCCCATCAGGGAACAGCGATGAACTCACAGTGTAGATGATAAAAAGAGCAGCTGTAGCAATCTTATATTCATTACTTGTGTTTACAGCCTTCTGCAGAAAGTAGGAAGCACTGTGCTTCAACACCCAAATACATGTAATTTCCCCCCCAAATAAACAAGCATATTTTTAAAATTATTTCTCCCAAAATTATTTCTTCTCAGAGTCAAAACTTACCTCAAAATGCACAAAGCACAGACACAGCAGGTTGCACAGAAGCCTAAAATCCTCCTGTAAGTAAATAAAACCAAATAACTATAATAAAAAAAAAAGTTAATTCTAGTCTTTTGTTTGTTTCCATTGTAAAATTGCCATGGGACTGGGGAAATATAGTAGCGCTTAATTTTAATAGTTCCATCATTGTAGATTGGCTGGGTATTAATTGTGTTAATGGTGATCATACTGAATTCATTTGGTATTTATTGAGAGACCACCTGTGCACCCATATGGTTTCCATCATTATTTAGGAGTAGTTAATGGACCCATTAGGAGTTAGCAGAAAGATGTGGGCTGGCAGTACTTCCCGAGAGTGGTGGAAACATTCTGTTGATATCCATTGCATTTTGAGGATTTTCCAAAGAGCTATTTGCTTCCCACCAATTTTCTCTCTCTTTAAATTATATACATATTCTCATCTTAGCTTTCAAGAACTCCTGGAAAAATTAACTCATGTTTCTTTGCCTATGACAGATCTGAGGGGACAACCTTTAGCCTTTTGATTTTGCAAAATATCTCCTTGCATGTTTCCTGAGCGGCTCCCTGGGGGAAGCAGGGCAGAGGAAAGCTTCCAGCATCTCTGGTGGGTGGGTGCACTCGTGTGCTGGGGGGAGAGGATGGGGAAAAGGGGAAATGTTTACTGGGACTCTTGCCCTGCAGTGTGACAAATTTGCCCACGCAATCTGTAGTGTCAGTTGTGCAAGACCAGAAACCTGTGGTGGGGAGGGGATGGTGGGGGAGTCACATGCAGGGAGTCAGCCTTGACTGTCAGCAGAGGAGAAGGAAGAATGCTTGGGCTGGGTGTGGTGGTAACCAAGGCTGCTGGCTGACCGCAGTGACCTCCTGCTTTGATCCACAGATCTGAAAAGATCTGCTCAGGCCCCGCTGCTGCACGGGCTGAGCAAACACGCCAGGGGCTGGGGCAAACAATTTCCATTTCTGGTGCCATGACAATGGGCAGATGGAGGAGCATCTGTGCAGCTTCAGTGCAAAAGGACAGTTACTTTGTTCAAACTGGAATCTCTGAAGCAGTTCAAAAGTGTTCATTTCCCCAGAAACAGGGAGTATAGCACCCCCCCCACATACTTGAAAAATCCGGGCTTATTTGCTGGGCACATCCCAAACAATACAAGGCTTATGCAAACTTTGCTATGTGCCAGTGTCCAGCTGTCAGCCACCTTCAATAACCAACTTGCTGGCCAATTTCAACCAAATTCAAATTCAGCAGAGGTCCCAAAGATTTTAGGTTTTGTAAAAATGGGGGGAGAGGATAGAGGAAGGGGCAAGAGCCCAGCCAGTGCCCTTACTGAGTACAAGGGGCTCAGTTTGCTGGTCCTAGATAGCAGATACTCTGCTTCTCAGTGAAGTTTTCTCTCTCTTACAGGTATCGGAAAGATTTCCTCCTATGTTTAAAGATTTTCAAAACTCTTTCATTCTCACAGACTTGCTTTTTGAGGGAAGAAACATTGATGCAGCTCTCCCAGATTTCAAATAAGCCAGAAAGCCCCATATCACAAAGAAACCTAAATTCATAACTTGTCTTGCTCATGGAAATACTTCTTTCAGTAAACAAGCAAGAGACTGAGCTGTCTTCTATTTTTGCTAGGTAAACAATTAAGTTAACAGTTATTCATCATGAGTATATTCACAATGTGAATGAAGCCTGAAACAATAATTTCTGCATGTAGGGAATATAATCAAGGTATTTGTGGCATGAGTCTGGTGATTATTCATACTTACATTCACAACCTGATGGTGATAAATGGGGCTGTGTTCTCACCATCACACCTTTGGTATTTAAGAGGTCACTTTTCTGTAGCTTAGGAAGCCAGGCCAGATTTCAGTGCACCTCTTGACAAGGACACCTTCCATCTCTAAACTGTGTTATTTGGGCTGTTTTCTTAAGCAGCTACTAATAAAATAGATACCTCTACATTAGCATTTTCACAATCCCCTTTTGAAAGAAATCTCCCAAATCTCTTAATTTACTATGCTTAGATTTGAAATGCACAAGTGTCTCAAAATATATGAATTACATTATTTTGGGGGAAATTTCAACCAAAATTGGTGCATTCAAAGGACTTCAACTGCTAATGAGATCTCAGTCCAGTGCACTTGATTGATCTACTGCAAGATATCCATGAAATATGTGGGATAGGGAGGTCAGATTCCCATCACCAGCAGTTTAACCCACAGACTCCCCCCTATCACCTTGCTCCTCCAGCATGGCCTGTGTCTGTGCCCATGTCAGCTCTCTGTGGAGATCAGAGCATGAGCACAGAGTGGGTTACTGCCCTCCACAAGTTTCTTAAGAACTCAAGATATCACAAGCTCATTTTCCACGTTTTGAGAAAACTCAGTTCAATTTTTTTTTTCTATCTGGTGTTTAAAAATAGACCAGTGCTTTTTTGCTTTTTGTTTCATGTATCGGTGATGTAAAATGTTAGCGGTTTGAAATTTCACAATGCTGAGAAGAAGGGAGAATTTGATGGTTTCACAGCAAAATCTAACAACTATCTCACCTTCTGAGCCCTCAGCATGGCCATGCCATGTGTCAAAATCCCCTCATGGATGGTGCCTCATTGGGCTGGTGTGAAGCAAATTATGGCTTCAGCTCCTGCCCCGAAAGGTTCTGCCTTAAAGAGAGGAGAGCCTAATTGCCACCCTGCTTGTAAAACCTTGGGGCAAAACTAAATGAGAGCTCCAAAAGAGCTGAAGCACCTTTGTGTCTGGGAGAGGTCAAGGTAAGATCTTAAAAAATGGGGGCAATTCTGAACTAACACATTCAGTGAAAAGAGGACTGCAAAAACATGCAAATGTTTTCTAGGAGTTTTGGTAAAAAATTCAGTATGTTCTGTCCAAAGGCTTGGCTGGTTGTTACAGAATTTAGTGGCATCTTTCTGAAACGGGACAATTTGAAAGCAAAATGTTTTCTGCTGTAAAATCAGATTTTCTTCAGTCTGACAGACCCCTACCTTCCTTTCCCTGCCACATTTTCCTCTCAGCCTGTCTCACAAGCCTCTTAGTAATGCTTCCTCCATTATGCTTTCATACTTTTTCTAGTCACTGTATATAAAAAAACCTAAATCACAAACATTTTTAATTCCAATAGCTTCATGCTTGCATTTTTCCAATATCACAATAACTCTCCTTTAGATTTTTCAATTTTTCCTTATTTGCATCTTCTCTCTTCTAATTCTAGCACTCCTGCTATTGTTTAGTCTACTGTCTTTACGTTTCCTATGTACTTTGCAAAAATACAATATTTAAAATGTTGGAGTTGTTTTACACTGGAAAGTTTAGCTTTTCTGTGGCTCCATATATGTGAAACTGCTCTGTGCTGTTCCAGTGCCACAAAATGATGCCAAATTTCCACAGGGTACTCCTGTCCAGCTGTACAGAGCTGTGCTTGGTGCTGCTAGCCCTGGTCTGGCTGTTCCAGAGCAGGAGGGGTTTTAGGGAATTACTGCTCAGTGTGGGTCTTTTCAGCTCTTCATTTTCTTACCTTCCTCTCTGGTGTGACTGTTCTGTGCACAAGGGCTTTAAAACCTACTGTCAGAGGAACCATTTCACTGCCTGTTATTTAAAATCCCTCCCTCATCCTACAGCTGAGGCTGCACTTGAAATCCAGAACAGTTCCATGCCTTATCTCCTGCTTTATTCTGTAACAAAGCCCTGGAGAGGATTGGAAACAAAGCAAGGTGAACCTCTTTGCTTTTGAAAGGGGTTTTAATTATCTTGCAACATCCCTTTTAAGTTAAAATGAGCAGACCATGGATCCTCCAAAAATCCACACTGAAGTAGCTCTCAAGCAGTTCCATAAGGTCCAGATCCATCTTCCCTACAAATGTGGGAGTCCATTCCATAGCTAGCACTTCCAGTGTAAATTCCAATGATGAAATTCAGGATGCTGTACCAAGCTTGGGAAGAAGCAGGTAAGATGTATGGAACCAGGAGAGGAATTCCCATCAGCTTTTGATCCTTAACCTGTGTATTAAGACTCTACAGAAACTCCCCCTAAACCTAAATATCTCGTTATTTATGATTATATATTTTAATGGACTTCTACCATTCCCTCCCCTGGGTACAATTTGTGTGGCAAAAAATACTGTGAGATCTGTTCTGTCCCCCATGTTTTGGCTCCCAGGGAACTGAAGAACCGTGAGAAGGTCTGATCTCATGTTATTTCAGCCCCACAAATAGCTCCCTGAGTGATTCAAAGTGCTTGCAAAAAGAAAAAAAAAAGTAAACACAAATACCTGGAATGAAAATATAAGTCCCCAGAGCCACACACACGGTGCAGTTGGTCAGAGCAGGAAGGACTGACAACCCAAGCCCTCTTGGTGGTGTCCAATGTCTCTGAAAGGCTCTCTGGGTGATTTGTCCATGTTTAACACCACACTCAAGGGGAAGTGGAAGGAGTTCTATTGTTCCTTTTCACCAGCTGTACTCAGCTGCCTATGGCTCCTTTTCTTCTCTGAGACCTCAGCTTTCTAACCCAGTGAAGCTCCACAGCTTCAGACCTGGCTGCAGCATTTTTCCCTCTCAGTCCTCTGTGCCTGCAGGGTGAAGGATGGCAGGATTTTCAGTGCTTTCCCTTCTAAACACTGGGATCTCCACTGGGACCACCTACACTTGAACTTAACCCAGCTGCTCCTAACACAGCTGCCTGCCACTGCTGATTCCACCCCACTCTCCTCTGCCCCCACCAGGGGTATGGCTGTGCAGGAAAATGATTTTGAGCAAAACTTGTGCTCCAGCCTCAAGGAAGATACAACCACTGTGTCTCCTTCCCCTTACACTGGAAAGGGGCTTCCAGCAGGCACTGTGGGAGTCCATCACAGCTGATTATGGTGAAACCAACATGACTTTTGTTGCTCTGTGTGGGAGGCCACAGGTATTATTTTCTGTGGCTGTGTAAACCACCACGTATTAACTATAAACTCTGAGTCATCTGCAAGGGATGTTATGCCCCCTTCATTCATTACCTCATTTTTAGGCTTTATTCTCTTAAAAGAATGAATCTTTACTTATTTCCCTTTTTCAGACATGAACATGTGAAACACACATCCAGTAAGGATTCCAGAATCTACTGACACAAGAACTCTTGGTTCTAAAGCAAGGGCCATCTAAATGTTATGGAATTGAAAGCTTACACTCTGTGCAAGGGGCATCTAAATGTTATAGAAATGAGACCTTACACTCTGTGGCACAGCAGATTTCAGCCAGTGAGTGCCCAGCTTAGGATAATACTGAAAAGCCTGACCTTGGTTTTACCCGTGCAGCGTCAATGCTTCAGTACAAACCAGGAGTTATTTACAGTGGTGCCCTGGGAGAGATGAGATCTATTGGGACTTTTTGGCTGCCAGTGATGCAAAAGGACTATTTGGATAGGAAAGAGCACGCCTGGACCACTGGGCTGTAGGTTACAATACCCAAGATACTACTGTCATTTTGGTTGTGCTCATTTGCCCTTAGAAACCCTTTAACCTCCTTGTCTCTCCACCCAGCTCTTGGCTGTTCAGCTGGCCTGGACACAGCTTGGCTGCAGTGATTTTATCATCCATACTGACCCAGGTGATCTCTAAAATGAAAAGGTTGATTAGACACAGAAGTGAGTCTGGAAGACAGCATGTATTTTTGGGGAGGAAAAACCTTTTGGAGAAAGGCTGTAAAGCCATATCTCAAATTCACTGAGTTTCCAAATAATTTAGGCCCAGATTTTAAGCTCAAGCACATTGGGTACATTACTGCTCCAAACATGTGGTACATGTCCTAGAAGAAAGTAATTTAAAACTAAATAATTATAAAAAACCCCAAGCAGAACCCACCCTCTGGATTTTCCACAGAAGCAAGGCAGGACTGCCACCAAACTTGGTGCCAACAACTTTGGAAGCCCCAAATGGAGTTACATAATAATGACAAATATCAAACAAACTGAAGAAAACAAGGGTAGGGGGAAATGCTGCTCTCCCTTTCCCTGTTCCTTCCTCCTCTTTTCCTGGCCCACCCCTGTGTAAATGACTCCAATAAACCATGAAAAGAGCAACTTGCCAGCAGCTGGCACTTTGGACTGGGCAGATGCCAGCCATGGGGTTCTCACTGGTTTCGAAACATGTTTTTTTGAAATATATTAAGTACATATGTGTCAGTCTGAATGGCTGAGTGAGCCACTGAAACCAAGATAAGCAAAGGCAGCACTTAGCATGCACTCTGCATGTTCTCCAGATCCTGTGTCCTCTCCTATGCCAGACTAACTTCTGGAATGAGGTTCTTATGCAACTTTATTCCAGTCACAGGGAGCCTGACTCCTTCTTCCAGTCAGCAGGAAATTTTCAGCTGACTATGGAGACCAGTTTTTTGTCATAGATTTGTCAGGCAAAAGAAGCTGCATCATTTGGTTTTCAGTGCCCAGCCATGAAGATTTCTCTGCGCAATAAGAAATCAATTAGATTTTTTCTATGCAATTAGATACAGAAATAAGCCATTTTCTTATTTGTGTCTGTGATTTATTCTGTGCAGCATCTCCTAAGTGAGATGGCACTTGATGCTTCATAAAAAGGGAAAAAATTACAATTTCTGACCTAAAGAAATGCCCAGTGAGATGCTTGTGGCTAATGTTTGAAAGCAGCAGTAAGGGCTGAGAAGAAGAAAGTCTCTCTGAACCAGTTGTGTAGTGGTGAAAATCCTTCAGGGGGAAAAGGGCCCATCTGGGTCAGAAGTGCTGAGGCAGGTTGGTATCATCACCCAGAAGAGCAGACCCTGTGTGAATCTCTCTGGCTGCACCCTATCATCAGGTGTTTCTTGGGGAACCAGGGCCCACATCTTAAGCACTCCATATCTTGGAGTCACACTGACACAAATGTCACGTTTTTGCTCTTCTGACCCTCTAAAAGGTCTTTGAGCATCTGCCTTATGCAGGCATTCAGCTATGAAAAGAAGAGTCTTCAGGAGAACAAAGTGTTTTCCTGTGTCTTGACTTGAGCTGGACAATGGAGCACAGACTCCAGTTCACAGACTAAACACCAGGACATATGATTTCTCCTTTTGTACTAGGACTCACATCAGCAACAGGGAATGGAAAAAACGTGTGAATCAGGTCGTTTCCAAGTTATGTGATTCACTCTGATGGGATGTTGCATTTCTTTGTCTCTCTTCAAGGAATCACATGGGACAAAACCACAACAGGCTGCTGACTTGCGGTGGGGTGGGGGTGGGTGGAGGGAAAGAATAGAAGTGCCTCTTATTTTAGAAAATAATTATCATGCTTATCTTCTTCCAGGTGTCTCCAAGGCCTGTGGAGATTTGACAGGATTCCCACCAATGAGAACTTTTGCCCACAATTCTGCCCCATTATCTCCCTCACACATAATAGAGCTGGAGGCTTGTGGTCGAGTGACCTCAGCATCGTTGCGAAAGCAGTTTGCTTGCATTATTCTCCCCACACGTGATTCCATAAGAGACACCACTCCATGCCTGGTTTTGTTCCTTAACTCTTTCCTCTCAGAAGAAAAGCACTTGATAAACTCTATGTGCCCCTCTGTGTGTGGAACCCATGCTGGGCAGTTTCTGGCATTTGCCCATGCCAGCGTCCCCCCAGGGTGGAGACTTTTTGCCCCAGGAGAGCAGTGCATGGCTGTGCCATGGTTGGAGCTGTGTGAAGGAGTTTTGTTGCTTTTTGTTTGATGCACTAAAGACATCTGGACTGTAGATAAGATGTTGTGCACAGGCAGAGGCCAGCACTGCCTTCGTGGTGCCTGTTTGCCAGCCCAGAACATTTTGGCTCTCCTAAAACTGTATGATGGGCATCTGAGTCCTATGGTGCAGGAAGGGAGCAACAGAATTTTGGATTAAACAGATTTTTTTTTTTCTCTAGAGAAGCTGAAATCCTGGGAGGGCATAAAATGGAGAAGTCCTGTTCTCTTTAAATTTCTCTATCAAGTACACACTTTCTTCTTACAACACTGCTTTTCCCCTCCTGCTTTCTCTGAATAGAGATGTTGGGGCAACAGGCAGTTAGAGGAGATGTTGTCCTCTCTTCCTCTGAGCACTCTTTGCTAGTGGGAAAAAGCAGACCAACTAAAGTTTGCCACCCACACCAGACTCTGGTTAAAAGGGGGAATAGCTTGTAAAACTGTCTTTCTGCATGTTTGCAAAGTACTTGAGGGTCTGATTGTATTACTACAGTGCTGATAATAAACACTGTTAATAATGAAAGCAGGAAGAAGCTGTTTACTGGGTGCTGCATGAGAAAGGCAAAGTTTGCTATGGCTGCTTCTAAATACAAAGAGATTGGGACAAAGAACTGCATGTGTAGGGCAGTGTTCAGAAAAGATTACTTCTGAAATCCAGATGAGGATGTAGGGGAGCAATCCTTAATGTGTTTGCTCCTGATTTGATGTAAAACCTCTCTCACACGATGAGACTCAGTCCCACTGCAGGTTCACAGGAGTCCCCAGGCAGCAGGGATGCAGGAGTGGGTGCCACAGGGCAAGGCAGGCTCACACCTGACACTGCAAGCAGCACAATGAAACTCCCACTGCCATGGAGGGGAGCTTTGCTCAGTTAATTAGGTCTCCCCAGCGTTCTGGAATAAAGATGTTCTCTGAGTGACAGCAGGTTCAGACAGGAGACTCCCAGCAGCAAGCAAGTAGAGTAAAAACATAGGAACACACAGTAACTTCTCCCTGTGCAGGAGCAAAGTGCTCCTGCCATGTAATAACAGAGATGGTTGTGTTTCATGAAGAGCCCTCATTTTGTTGGTTGAAACCTGGATGAAGTCCAGGTGTTTCAGAGGGCTAAACCATCACTCCTCCAACATGCACTGGGTACGTGGAGGGGTCCTGGAGGCCACAAAAGCTCTGCAAATCACAGGTGCCACCGTGATCTCCACTCCTGAGCCAGGGCCCCTGCTGGCTGCCAAACCGTACGTGGTGATTACACAGTGTGGACACCTCGTCAGCTGCTGAGGCCTTCTGACTCATTCCCACTTAGAATCTAGATGACAGTTTGGTTTGAATTAGCCGTGGGCTGAAGCCAAAATCCTGGGTCTAAACTTCCTCAGATTTTGGGAAGGCTCCAGTCTGGATCCAAGCTTAGCACATGGCTGTAACTTACTCAAAGATTGGATCCAAACCCTGGATCAGAACGTTCCCAGACTGGGGAAACTCAAAGCCCATCTTTGATGCTGGGATCATCACAAGGATGAAATACTGCCCTCATGTTAGGATGTTCCTTGCTTTCTTTCATAGCTGGTGCATTTTTAGGACTGCAATTGTTATGTTTCAGTTCTTACGATGAGATTAAAGAAGAAAAAGAAAATATGTTGTTTGTTTTTGTTTCAACTGAAAAAACATCTTGCTTTCAATTTGCCTGTTGGATAGACAAGAG